TTTAGTAAAGAATATATTTGAAGGACGTCCCAGAGTGAATACATTTTTTACTAAGGCACTATTCGCTCTGTGTAAAGATCATCAATAACTTCAATAACTAGCAAAATATGGTCTTGCTCCTTTAACTTCAATTGTTCAGAATCTGCAATTGAGTATGTATGTAATATTCTCTTTTCTTCGTCATTCTCCAATTTTAGGTTTCTCGTGTCGCAAATCACGATACTATCAAAATTGTAAGTGAGAGCATCAATCTATTTCCCTTCTTTTATTGGAGCTTGCGATTTAATTCACTCTTCTAACTCGTTGTTTAGTTTAAAAAATACTATAAATGTTCAGGTTTACTTTATTCGCTCGTTCGACTGAGTTCAAGTCTTCCCAGTTTATGGTAGAAGTATGAGGGCCGAATTGTTTTAATAACAACAGGGATGAGTTTATCCGGGATGACTGAGTAAATTAATTAGGTTTGCACTTATTTTCCCGTAGAATAGTGCCAACTGCTATGCACTTTAGAACACATATCCTTGGTGTCCGGAGTGTGTGTGTGGGGTTGAATATATGTGATTTACCTCATGTTTTGGCAGGAATATCTGTGAATCTACCTAGGACCTGAGAAATTCCAATCTGATGGATATTTACAGCAATAGCATTTGCTTTATCAGCCGAATACCTGGACCCTTCTGCTTCTTTTTCTTCTAATTTAGCCATTCGTTCCCTAACGTCGTCGACTAACCAGTCTATGATATCGTTGTCATTGACTTCACTAGGACTACTGGAACCCCGAATTTAAGTTGAATATTCGTGTTTTTTTCCGCTCATTCGGAATTTGAGTTCAGTTCAGTCCGATTTGGAAAGACTAGCTTCGCCCGGGCCTTTTCTCTAGAGTGGCCCGGCCTGTGTCAGCTATTTCTAGTTGACATGTGTTTTCTTTGAAACGTATGCTTGGCGTGGAGGCTGGATTGCAAGCAAGCGATCCAGCTGCAACCGTGTAAGCATTTGTACCAGCCCGGCGGCTGTGGTGGGTGGTCCTTGTCTCAGAAATTGCGTGTTCACAATTTTATAAGTAATGTAACAGGGTGGCGTTAGGCTCGCCGCATTACTCGCATTCCCTGACAACCACTCATAAAGAACGCCAAACACATGGGTAACCTAGTCTTAATCTGTGCAGTATGACTTAAGTACCTCTATTTATATTTGGATGAAGGGCCAGGGACCCATAGCCTGACAGAGAGCGAATTTGTGGTATTTTCTGTGCATGCCCCGGAGAACAGCAAGTGCTGTAGTTCTGGAACTTTGGCTCACTCTCCTTTGGCTTGGGTTAAAGATCATGGAGGTTGGGGGCATGCCCCTGCCCTTTTCGGCAAGTCTCAGTAAGCTCATTCCCTTGGATGCCTATGTGGCTTGGGACCCAGTTTATGATTATTCTACCCTAATCAAGGATTCTCTGGGCTATGGTTAGGACAGAGGTCAGAAGGTATATGTTGTCTTGGAGCACCCTATGCTGTAGACTGTGGTTGCTCTAGAGTCTGTCTATATGATCACGTGTCCATCCCTTAGGGACGCGTGCGTCAGGGCTCCCATGATCGCGACCGTTTCAGCTTGGAGCGATGAGGCATTGTCAGTGACCCTAATGGATGTGGCTTCCCTTGCTGCGAAGCCGGCTTATGGGATCCACGGATCCATCCATTTGTATTGGAGGTTCTGCTATCCGGAGGGGTTATTTGAGCAATGACCCTTTGTACTTGTGCATTTAGGCTAGGCATAGAGTATTGATCTTTTCTCCTTGACATGTTCAGGGCTGAGAACTCAATCAAGTTGTTTGCCCACGGCAGCGGTTCTTTATAGTCTGGGTGAGGGGAGTCCATGCCCTTGGCAAGCAGTGGTTCTTTGAGCTGGAAGTGTGTCAACACTCTGGCTATGTGTGTGTGAGCCAGCTGTCCGCAAACAGCTGATAGTCTTGTTGTGGGCGTCTGAGTGCTCTTTGTCTTAAGAATGCATTTCAGGGTGCCTGCAGGACCTTGGAAAGGAACTGGGCTGCCATTTAATCAATTCGGGTATCCAGGGCCGGCAAGTCGGTCTCCATGAGGTCAATGACCTTTGTCCATCTGGGGGCACCCAGAATGATCCTGGCTGCTTCATTTTGTACTGTTTCCAGTTTTCTTTTAATATTGTGCTGGAAGCACTGAGGGCGACAGAAACATAGTCAACAACAGGTCGAACAGCATGTACATAGAATGATCTAAGTACTTTGTGTCCTGATCCTATGTGTTTCACGGTCATTACTTTCATGACTGACAGTCTTGCTGTAGGTGTTACCGCAAACCAGAGTCAGTTCAAACAGTATTCATTTATTCATTTTTCATCACTCCTTAACAAAGAAACGGACCAAACAATTTTTATTCATCTATCGTCAAAATAATGAAACATGTAAATCTCATTCTTGCCCATGTGATTTGCAGTTTCTTGTCCTTTGGCAAAATGCCGACAGACACAGAAGTTGCTA